GGTTGCCACTTTAAAGAAATAAGTAACATTCAGGAAACAACTGAAACCATCTCTGGAAAATGCAATAGGGTTCACATGAATTTCCAACAGTATACTAAGTTGAAAAAGGGAGGGGGGGAGCTCCAGGAAAAATTTCACACACAGTTGAAAAATAGGTCTGGTCAGGCTATTATTTCTCATACATCACTTTTAATAAGTATGTATCTCTGAAGACAGATACCCAGTGTGGTGTAGTATAGTGACTAGGGCCCAATTGGCCATGGAAATTCACTTCGGGAGTGGAACTGGTAAAACCATTCCTTGAATATTTCCTTTCACCTATCCTGAAAATCTTATTAGAATCACTATAAATTGGAGTAACATGAGAGCACATAACCATCACTAGAGATGTAACACAATTTATGTACTGTAAATTTTTCTGACTGTATCTACCAGAGTGAGTATTAGGGGAGATAATTTAAATAATCTACAGAACTTCCAGAAACCAATTAAATTGAGGCTTCAGTCCAACAACTGTTCTGCTATATTTACAAAGCCTTAAAAATTATATACAGTATACAATTTCATAATAAGAATTAGAATTTATAATCCCTGTTTGTTGCCATATTGGAGATGTTAGTCCTTTATCCTGCCGAAGCAATTCAGTGGCCTCTGTCTCAAGCTCCCAGAGGCTTCCTAGGGCAAAAGGGAGACTCAGAACTTAAAACTGGGGGATAAGAAGCTTTTAATTGGTGTAAATTAAGCACTTGCAGCACCTGATCCAGATTCCACCATGTGCAAAATTACATAACGGGATATCACCCTCCCTTTATAATTAAATAAAATGTTACACTTAAAAAGGCATCTCTGCAATATGAAATTATGTTCACAATGTACTTATACCCTTGTAACTGGCAAAAGGAATTAATTGGAAGCAACTGTTTATTTGTAATTCATTACTTCCAAGCTCTGCATGCATCCAGTCAGCCCAACAAGAGGAGAGATAACAAGGTTAATAAGGACTGGGGAAGAGTTACAATCAAAGGGCCTACCAGCAGGGAGTACAAATCGCAGCATAAATGTTAAACCTTGTTACTTTGGACATGCTGTTTGAATACAAAGCTTAAAATGCACAAACGTATACAAAAGTAAGTAGTCGCTTTTCTGTTTAAGCTGTATTAATTTATTTTTCAGAATATCCCCTTTAAGTCCTTCATGCATGCTTTTTAACCAGCATTAAAAAAGGGGGGGGGTTGGACTAAATCTGCTGACACGAATTATCTCAATCTGCATTCTGAAACATGGCTGTTCCAACCATGCCTGGTAGATCTATTACACCTTGGTAAATGAAAAATACCAAGTTCAGTAAGAAAGATTTGCTGGACATCCCCTGTTTAATGTAAACAAGTCTGGAAGGGAAAATTACCTGAAGAAGGTATGTGTGTGTTTGTGTAGAGAAAGAGAGGGAGATCATGACTCTGTAGCACTAAATGGCACAGGTTACACAGATGCATTTTTGATAGATGTTAATGTTAATTTCTCAGACAGTTGAGAACAATGAATTCATAGCTTTGGATTGTGTTTTGTTTCAGCAAAAGAAGGATGTCATATGACAACTAAAGGGTTTGCTGCATTCAGCAGCTCACGCTGAATAGCTATATAGTTTTATAAAAGGAATTACCATGACTACTGTGTCCCTCAGCGGTTCTGATCTTTGCCCTGTGTTTCTGTCCATTAGCATACAAATATACACTCATAAACAGGTCATTGATAACCAGGCTGAAGCTGTACCTTGTATCACAGCTTTGATATTGCACTGATCAATACATTGTAATATCAGAAAGGTACAGAGAAAAGATTAGACTACTTGGTAGACAATTATAACAAAAATAGAACAAGGAGAAATTATACTAGATGTTTCATATCATAATTACAAAACTTCCACCCTCAGAAACAAAATTAAACAGATATTATAGTTCATAGAAAGGTGAAAAGGTGCCTTTATTTACATAAATGTGCATCAGGGCAAAAATTAAAATTGGATCTTCATCTTGGAATCAGATGATTCCCTTTCCTCATCCACTCACACATATAAACACTGTTTCTTCTATCGATACCAAATACCTGATATTTACCACTCACATCATTACAACTGCAAGTTCCTCAGTACTTCTAGAGAGCAAGACTATTATCTTCTCCTGTGTTTACTGGTGGGCAATAAATAACCACACATGCACCTATGGGTACATACACACTAGTCAAAATAGGGATGATCATAACATGCATAGATTGAACTAATTAAAACAAGGACTTTAAATAAAAGTGCATGAAATATGAGCTATAAAAGGTAAACAATCTCCATTTGGGAAGCAAATTTCAATTTGCTTTTACAAAAATATAAGAATGCTTAAAAACAACTCCCATGAAAAGAGAGAGGGCTAAGATGTTTGCTAGCTTTGTGACATGTACTATGACATCAAAATCCACATATTAAATCTTAAAAGGACATTAAAAAAAGTTGGTGTCTTGAAATGACATGGAAATACACTGCAAACAGAACGTATCTTGAATATTCTAATAACTTCCTTAACAGGCATGGCAGTTGTAATCCAGCTTGGACTGTGATGTTTTAAAAGGGATTTGTGAGCAACTGTAATTTTAATCAACACTATGCTCATAAACCTTACAAACTACATCCGAGATTTTTGAATTCAACCCAATACTGTCTGAATATTTATAATTGGATGAATCAGAAGGCTCAAATAACAGAGACACAAACCCTCCTTACATTTTTGAAAGCAAAAATTAAGGCAGCCACCTGCTTACACCACATTCTTTTTATGCACTGATATCACCAAAATATACAGAGCTTAACCTTGTAGCATATGCCTATATCTCAAGAATGTTATCTGCTCTTTAAGCACTGAGGAGTCTGCAAGTATTTGTTTGAACATGGAAATTAACACATATGTGCTTTAGTCACAATTACAACTATCTGAGGAACCTAAGCTACCTGTAAAGAAGCTTCTCAGATGGGCCTGCTTTCATAATAGTATATTACTTATTTCTTACATAATGTCTGCCTGGTTCCCAGGAAGAAGATGCAGAGTTTTTACATATACAGTGATGCCTCACAAGACGAATGCCTCGCACAACGAAAAACTCGCAAGACAAAAGCATTTTGTCATTTTTTTTGGTCACTCGCAAGACAAATTTTTCTATGGCTGTGCTTCGCAAGACAAACAGGAACACATTAATTAAATTTCAATGCATTCCTATGGGAAACCGTGCTTCGCAAGATGAAAATTTCACAATACGAAACGACTCATGGAACAAATTACCGGTATTTTCATCTTGCCAGGCATCACTGTATTTAGTTTCTCAAGTTGCACTCTTCAGTGAAATATGGTACCTCTGGGGCTTGATACTTTAAAAACTCCTCACCGTGCTGCTAACTCTAGCAGCGAGTTATCTTGACAAACGAAGGGTACAAATGAATCTACTGTTAGTCTATTCTATGCCTGTGTCTCACCTGTAACAAAAGCAATCTTGTATGTTGCTTGACAACCTTTTAACATTGTTTTGAGTTTTCCCTATGTTGGCCTCTGAGTATAAGCTATTTTATACTTGGCAAATTTCTATAACATTAGAATCCAACAGGCAGAAAAACTGTACAGGGATGTGTTACAGAAACTGTTCAATGACATGTTTTTCATTTTGTTCAGGTCAAACCACAGCGCACAAGACTGGTACAAAATTCATCTAAATTTATATGAATCCAAATGGGAATTGAAAAAGGTAGCAAATGTGCAAAAAGGTTATTTAAAAGAAGGAATTTTAGATTATACTGAATATCCAAGAATGAGATAAATGGACCATATATTGAGGGGGTAAAGTCTGCTTCTTGCTCCCATGATATAAAGTCAAGAAGGAGAAATTGGTGAGGAACACTTTTTTGGGAGAGTTCAGGGATGGTTTTCTGCTCCCACGACCCATCACAGGCTGCACCAACTGAAAATACCAAGTTTCAGACTTCCACTTCTATTTAATAGGGAGACTGGAACCCCATCTATTGCAAAATTGCTGCTCCTGGAGGTGATGTCAAAACTGTTCCTTGGGAATGGGGTCCAGAAGATTGGAGGGAACAGTAAAAATGGGTCTGGGGCCACATGCAGACCAGAGGATGTGCTCTGCTTACTCCTAAATGAACCCACCTGCTGAATCTCTTTCCTGACTGCAAAAATAATACAGAGACTACATGCAACCAACGGCGGATAGCATAGAGTTTTCAGATCATGAGGAACTGGCAAAGCATAGAAGGAAAGAAACAGAGAAGCAGTTAGCCCCTCATCTTGTATCTATCCTGGACCGTCTGGCAAGCCAAGCTATCTGATGATTGACAACAGTGAACTAGAGAGAACAAGTTTCCCTCATGGCTTACAGTGGACTCTGCTGCAAACAGGAAGATTACAAACTTGCACTCCAAGGCGTGCAACAACTTCCAAAGTATACAGACTACTAAAAAGTGTCACCACAGTAAGCAGCTACTGTACCAGCCTGCTGCAGCAGTCATTCAAATTAGCTAAGCCATAGTTGTATCTTTTTTTAAAAAAATACTGATATTGCCAACAAAGGCACAAGCTAACCTTCAGCCACTGAACAATTGGGAGGGGGGGGAACCCTTCTACGTTCTTGTGAATGGACCTCTGGATAAAATATTCTAGAGCTTCAACTTAAGACAGAAGGCAAACAAAATTATGCAGCATAACAAGGGAGGATGAACAAGGATTCAAGGAAAAGCAACACTTGAGAACTCTTATTGTCACCAGTTGCTCTACTGCAAACATACATTAGTGATTAAATGAGACACTACAATAAAAAACTCACATGAGAGGTACACAAAGGACAATGATCTCAATTTGAGCTGTGTGCATTTCCAGTCCCTTATTTCTTTTCTATATTTCTTCCAATTGCTTTGATAACATCCTTCTTTTAATTTAAAGGGAGAAACACACCTCCAATGACATGGGGAAAATACTTTTAATTTAAAAGACAATGAACCCTAAAATATAAAATTTGTTACCTCCTAGAAGGTCATTAAAATAAGAGGATGTATTAACTAAAGTCCTGGTGTGCACAGCTCTTTGAACTTATCTCTTAGCCGGTGTCTCTTTCATTGTTAATGGGTAAGTTGTCCATATTTGGTCACCACCTATCAATTAAGAAGCAAGTACTAAAATCTGAATGTGTCCCATGAGTTCTTCAAGTGAATGCCACTACTTTGCTTTTTGTTTTCTTGCCGAGGAAGAGTAAACTCCCCACTCCTTTATTGAAACACGAAGGCAGTCTTGCAGTCTAACAACTTCAAGTGTCTGTTTAGGGTGTAGACGAGGCATGGTACTTCACAAAGGCAATGGCAGCAAGCTCTTTACAAAACTCTTCCAACACAATCACACCTTCCAGTAACGTCATGTGGTCAACACTATGAAAAAAAAGATGAAAAGTGAATGAAAAGCTATGTGTGAAGCTTCATAAAAACCATCTTCCAACAGATTGATAATTAATATACTTACATAGGGCCGTCAGGTTCTAAACCAAGGAGACGCTTCCTAACCATCAGAAGCTTTGGCGTGAAGTCAGGTATACGCTGGATTCTCACCATGAGATCCCCAACAACCTGCACATTATACATAATACAAAGTAAAAGGGAGTAGAAAGTGGACCAGCATCCAGTAGTGCTTGTTCATTGTTTTGCTGTCTAATTAATGTTAGAGAACCATTCACTATGTTTCATTTGTAACATGTTAATATGTCTCATATGAGGAGACATAGATGAGTCTATGAAGGCTGTGTTGTTTATTGGAGAAAGCGCAATCCTGGTGCAAGAATTAATGTATACACCAGATTCCTAGACCTGCATGAAATTTTCTACATATTGGTATCATATGCCAGACTGTGCGGCACAACTTCCAGGGATTAATATATGGACTAGCCTTCTGTGTCTGCCTCCATTTGACATAACTTTATGCCAGCTGTTGATGGAAATCATTGATTTAATAATTTAATTTAATAAATCCTATTCCCTCCCTTCAGATTCTAAGATTCCCAAATGCTTCATCAGGGCAAAAGGAATCCCTAGGGAGCCTCAGAACCAGAAGAGAGTGGGATGGCAAGTTTGACTTAAATTAAATTAAGGATGTCCACGGCCAGCTGATGACACATCATCTTCACATGCCATAAAGTTGGGCAACAAAATTTCAGCCACTCTATCACTAGGCTTTTATAATTGTATTACAATAATTGTCTGTCATTTTCAGCAAAAGTACTGAAGATCTTAGAAGAAACAACACATCTTGTGTCTACATGTTTTTATACTATGATGTTACTGTGTGCTATAGTTACATTTTAAGTTTTTGCATCTCTCCTTTTAATTATATATTTATCCTATTATTGTACCTCACTTAACCTCTTACCATTTTTCTGCTGTGTTGCCACATACAGTTTCCGTTTATTCATTTGCTGTCTGCCTTTTTAGCAATGCACAAATAAACTATGCAAACCTCAGGCGTGCATGCTCTATCCCTCCCTCCCCCTCCCCACACATGGCTCGAAAGAGGATTTCTGAAAGTTTTCTCTTCATCTTTCCCACCCTTCAGTGGGGATCCCTGTGTTAAACGGACCAAAATGTCATGATTTATGACTAATTATGATCAGTTTTTTAAAAACAGGATAACTTAAATAATCAAACAGGGATTCTAATACTAGTCTGGATCCCTTATCCGGATGTTGCCTGAAGCTGTTATTGAGGGAAAGCAAAGGTAAAGGCTTCAAAAAATCCACCTCAAGTATGTGGGATGGGTGAGAAGGGATGTGTGAGCATGCAACCCTGTGAGATATTGCACTTTATTTCAAGTTGTATTAAACCGTTGCTTATTTGTTCAACTTATATTCTACTATGCTCAAGGTAGCTTTTAATGTAACTCAGAAAGGCTTGCATTTAAAATGAACAAATTCATTTGGAACACATACTGTATCGTGATATCCAAATGCCACCAATCAATATATTCAAGGTAGGGAAAATGGATGTTCTACCCTACAAATTTTCTTATATACACGCAGTTTCCAACATAAAGATACACAAAATGGATGTTCTACCCTACAAATTTTCTAATACTGTACACACACAGTTTCCAACATAAAGATACAGTAACTGAATTTCTTCTGGGAGATTATGGCTGTGTGGAGCAATTACAGAGTAAGATGCACACTAAGGCTGCAATCCTGTGCCCACTGATTTAAGAGTAGGTTCTACTGACCAAGAGTAGGTGGGTCTTATTTTCGAATACTGTAAATGGGTATAGGCTGAAAATCCTGTCAGAAAATGCTGATGAAGTAAGTCATCAATGGGGACAAGTTTTTTAAATTAAAGATTACTCTCTTCTGTTGAGAGGCAGCCATGGCTCTTATGTAAAAACTGCTGACACAAGGAAATAATGAATTTTCCCTCAAAAATCATCCTGGCTGATGACATCATCAAACTGGCATGATGCAACTTACACCAACAGGATTTAGCAATAATAGATTTGCACTTGTAATTGACTACTTAGTCACGTGGGATTCTAGAGTAAATGTAGCTACTTTCTGTCCTAAGTGCTGCTTTTAAAAACACAGGCCAGGCATTTGTTATTTGATAAAACAGCAGCAGTAGTCATAGTTATATATTTTGTAGCGCTGTTCAAGTTGAGGCCTTGAACATGTACTGTACTCACCCTGACAATTACTGAAAACAGAGAGCGGCAGCCAGAAGCCAGATTTACATAGGGATCCAAAAGGTACTCATGGATATGTGGATGTGGAAACAAGGACAGTTTGGACAATACAGATGTGACTTGCAGATTGACATCATATGGCTGTAAGGGAAGGAAAACCAAAAGAAAATATCTTCCAAATGTCCACACTTTCATTATAATACATATCTGGATCTCAGCAGAAAATTAATAGGGTTGAGATTTCTCATATGCAAAATATATACTATATGAGAACCACCAGAAGCATAAGCATATTGTTTTAAATATCCTGACATGCTCACTACCCACAACAGAAACATTCCAGCACAAGAACAACTAAAAACAACGTGTACAGATCTAAGACACCCCTCCTTCTGCATCTGTTTTTATTTTTAACTCCATAAGATCTTGTTCAGATCTTCATCACATCAAATCCAACCATAGGGGTTTTATATGATCATTAAGCAAAGTGGAAAACAAAACATTTGTGGATGGTCAAGCCACCCAGTGGTAGTCCATGGCACTGCAGTGTAACCTCTTCTAGCAAGTCTTTTCTGCAGTAGTAGTAATTTTTTTTTTTAAATGTTTTGTGGCAACCATTTATTCACCAACTGCAGTGAGAACAAGGCTATCTCGAACTGGATGGAGCATGCCTAGGCTACCGAAATAGAAGGATTTTCACAGAAAGGGGGAAGAAAGAGGATATCAGTGAAATTCAAATTGATTCACAAGAATCTAGAATTTAATATACTGTACTTCTATGACAGTATATTGGCTCCAAAAACAAATATATGCAACTTTATGATCATGTACTTAATTCACATGCTGTAGTCTGGTGGGTTTATATGTAGACTTCTAGAGCCTCTCTGTATAAAAGAATAAGAGCAAGAAAATCTTAAAATATGCCAGTGAAGAGGGCAGTGACATAGAATGAGGCATGCCAGCATTAACAGAAGGCTGCACAAAACAGTCATAATCTTCTGATCTCCAGACTGTGTTACAATCATGCCAAGGCCTCTACCTGACAGTATAGTTTAGCTAAGTAACAACTGCATCAAGTTTGTCATTTTAATCTCATCTGAACATTTTCATATTTCTGACCTGCATTGCATTTCAGAAGCATTTATTCCTCAAAGGGAAAAAATCATTCTGGCTTAATTTTCCCCCTTTCTTTGTTGGGGGCAAGAGAGAGATTTTTCCATCTTAATGCATACTTAATTCTCCATGCAAGTATTGCCCTTGACAAAAGAGAGAGAACAGTTGCATGCTTGACTGATCCAGGATTTTTGTCATTCTGACAGGTACTATATAAAATTGACATTGTGCGACAATAACCTAGAGTCACTGCCCCCCTTTTTAGCAACATTACCAAGATACTTTTTCCACTGACAGTCTTTAAGAAAGGAATTTTTTACTTTTATTTTTTTACAATTTTGGCCTCATTACTGGGATCAGATTTCCATATATATGCAGCTTAATATTCCTAAAGCTGTTAAGACCCAGATTTAAGCCTCAAATCCAATATTCATTTTAAGTGATGCATGTGCAGAATGTGTATTTAACAGAGACCACTTCAAAGTTACATTTTCATTTTAAACATTTAGAGACACATGAGGGGAGTCAAACAGAAAATTGTTTCAGGTACCAATTTTTAAAACTTGAACGTAGTCCGATGGAACAACACAGTTATCTTTTAAGCAGTGAGGAAACCTGGAAGGTTACATCAGGTAAGCCCTTAATATTTACTGTGACTGGCAGTAATTCATCAAATATCAATTATGGGTCTTTCCCATCATCAAGTTCTTTTTACTAAAGACCAGGGATAGAACCTGGAATTCTCTGCATACAACATAAAAGCAGCACCACTGGAATTTGGTCTTTTCTTTCTTCAGTATTTAAAAGAGGAAGCCGTTTCTTTCTTCAGTATTTAAAAGAGGAAGCTGGAAACAATGTATTCGCAAAGGCTTTCACGGACGGGATCTAATGTTTTTTGTGGGTTTTTCGGGCTCTTTGGCCATGTTCTGAAGGTTGTTCTTCCTAACGTTTCGCCAGTCTCTGTGGCTGGGATCTTCAGAGGACAGCACTCTGTGCTCTGGTGTAGTTGGCTTGGGAGTGCACCATCATTTTTGCGAACAGCGGCTAGCTTCCCTTCCAGCAGCCTAGCTTGCCCTGTCTGCTTATGCATCTGCCAATCAGCTGAAGGGAAACTGATCTCTCTTTGCAAAGATGGAGGTGGAGGCAGAGGCCACAGTGGTGGATGAGGACAAGGTAGGGAGGCGATGGGGGCAGTAGGAAGGGGCAGGGAGCAGGCTGTGGGGATGGGGGGGGCTCTGCTTTTTTAATATACAGGTTGTCTTAAAAAAAGCCCTGACAAATTTCCCAGCTGGAAATTCGTGGTTTGTCAACCTTGATGAGCCTTAAACCAAGCCAAAGTGCTGAAGTGCATTAATAGCCAGGTTACTCGTTTCCTGTCCATTTAGTGGCCATTTTGTGCACTACATATTTCTCCTTGCTCTCTTCTCTTAATTCCATTCAACAACATATGCTATTTTGCCTTCCCATTTGTGGGGAGCAGATTCCTTTATTCATACACATAAGTGTGCAGAAACAACTCTTCCCTCTCCTCGCTACCAATCCGACTATTATAAGGATTGTGTGCAAACCCAACCAATACTATCAGAAGAAAAAGCATCAAGGATTGTAGATTTACCTGATCGAGAATTCTGCCCATTCTATCAAACAAAATTTTCAGAAAATATCCTTCAAAAAACGGAGCTTCTAAATTGCACTTTTCCAAAGGTTTAGGAAGGCCTGGCCATTCCCATCGTAAGCATATGGCGCAATAGTCTCGGAACTAGAAGAAAAAGAAAAACTGTTTAGTCATTTATGAACTAGAGGTGAATTCCCACTTTAATGAGCAGTTATAAAAGTATACAATAGTAAAGTTATTTGCTGGAGGCAACATGGGGAACCTAAGCCCTGGGCTGAATCCCACCCCTCTTGGTTTATAATCTGACCCTCCTGAGGTTTTCAGGACAATCCATCTTACTCATAACATTGAGAGTTTTCCAGCTTTTGTACAGTTATCATGCAGATTGGCCAAGGTTTTGTCACACTGCCTTTCATCAAATCAAACCTGGCCACAGAGCCAATTTGAGAAGAGGAGGGCATCAGAATGATACGTTTCCTGCTCAAAAGCAAAGGAAGAACCAGGAAGCAAGAGAACTGACAGCAAAAGTACTACAAAACGTCAAGAAAATAATATTATCCATGCCTGTCCTCGGATACAAGAAGAGTTAACAGTCTCTTGGATGCCTCCCATGCATCAAACACAGAATTAGTTTCTTCAGAAAGAAACACGGATCTAGTTTCCCAGGGCAAGCACATAGTCTTCCAATTTAGGTGAAACAGCACACCACGGTTTTCCATAAATCAGGTTGGGGAAAAATTATGACACTGAGAAGTTTGAGAGCACTTAAAGACACTGTCATTTTGTACCATCAAACCACTGGCTGGTTTTATGTTTCAGCAGCTCAAACCAGTGCTTGTACCTTCGTACCCACAGCCTGTTGGCTTTATAGTATCTCGATTATACTTCAATATATGAAATGTCTTCTGGTGTCTACTCCCAACAGACAAGTGCAACAGTCAATTGAAGTGGTCTTTGCTGGTTGTCTTTCTGTTCAGTTCAGTCACGTGTGAATGCATTTAAAACACCAGCCTGTGAACATGCTTCAACTCTACTGACACCAAGTTCCTTCCTTCATTTAAGGGGAACACATCAACAAGAAAGCTGAGCACACTTTTCTGCATTCACGTTTAGAGTATTATGGGAATTTTTGTAGCTCTTTTGACTCTTTTTACCTCTCTTGTCTTTTCCCATTAGCTTAGGGAAATGTAGAAAAACAGAAAAATAATACCTCTCCCCCCCAAAAAGGCAATTTTTTCTACTTAGAACATTTCACTCATTTCTGGGAGCACAGCATTCTGAAAATTATTACTTTGTATATCTGTATAGTTCATATCCAGTTCCCCGGCTCATCTTCCATTCCATTATACCCACTCAAAACATTCTGATGATTTTTTGCAAGACACATTTACAAGGATAAAGTCAAATTCAGTTTTGTCCTCAGATCAAGACCGGTAGTTGTTGGAAGAGAATCACATATGTGATTCAAAATAACAGCATTATAATTCCCTTTTCTTGACACTATCGTCTACCTCAAAATTGCATGCATAAGGCTATACTTTACTTGCAATAAGCACTTGTTTAAAAAGCAATGGCTGTGTAGCTTTTCCACAGTGACCTGCACCTGTCAAATATCTTGCCACTGTAAGAGAATACAGATAAATATAAAAGCAATTTTTAAAAACTAGCACCTGACTGTTATGCATCATTCTACTGCATTAAAATATTACTGTACCTCAGTTAACGTATTGAGAACACAGTAATGAGCAAAACAGCTTTGTGAGATACAGTTATTTCTTGTCAGCTGAGTTATGAAGCATATTCTCTTTCACACACCCACACCCACTGTAGCATATATACGAACATATTGTCAAGAAGCCAGAGAGAATTCAGGAATCGGGTGGCTATAATGGTCTTCAAAGCCACAACACATCTCTTAAGAAGGAAAATGAGAAATGCTCAACTGCATTTAGGGTTCTGGGGACAAGTAAGAATTGACATGTTACCTACCTGTAATTGTAGTTCATTAAGTGGACTGCTGTGATTCACACTATGGGTGATCCGTGCATGTGTGGAGCCTTGTCAAAATATTCTAGAGATTCTGCGGAAGCAAAAAGATACATTAGTGCAGACCGCTCTCCCTTGGATATATGTACCTTGGCGCCAAGGCTCTCCATTCAATTAGGTCAACCGCCGCATAAAATAAAGGATGTGACAGCAGGGAGGCCAGGTCGGGATGTGTGAATCACAGAGGTCCACTTGAAGAACTACAATTACAAGTAGGTAACCTATCATTCTTCTTCATAGCCTCTGTGGATCACACTATGGGTGACTAACAAGCTACCTTACCCAGAGGAGGGTGTCACGCCAAGGTAGATGATAACACAGCACGCCCAAAAGTAGTATCGGATTTCTGCCGAACGTCCAATCTGTAGTGATTGATAAATGTGGATGACTGTGACCATGTGGCAGAGGCGCAGATGTCAACAAGGGGGATTCCTTGAAGAAACGCCATGGATGCCGCCCTGGTGGAGCGAGGGAGGATATTCTGTGGTGCTGAAACTCGAGCCAGCTGATGAGCAAGCTGGATGGCAGATGCAACCCACTTGGATATTCACTGCAAGGTAACTTGGAGATCTTTAGCAGGAAGCCACCTAGAGTGGTCGCAAGACCAGATAGGCGGGATATAAATAGAATAAATAAATAAATAAAATAAAGTTGGTAGCTGACAAAAAGTCTAGCTGAGCATCTGAAAGATTGGGTGCAGGCTATATAGAAGGCCAGAGCCCATCTTACATCCAATGTATGGAGAATCTTTTCTTGAGGATTAGATGGAGAAGGAAAGGACATAAGAACCAAGGGTTGGGATAGGTGAAACTGGGAGAAAAAATATCTACAAAGGGTTTGACTTTATCCCAGTAAAACTGGAGATAAGGGTAGTCAGACCTTAAGGCTGCCAGTTCACTAGCACACCATGCTGACGTGATAGCTACAAGGAACACTGTCTTAAAAGTAAGTAACCTGAGGTCAGTTGATGCAAGGGGCTCAAATGTGGGCCTTGTAAGGTGCCGGAGGACTAATGTCAATGACCATTGAGGAGATGGAGGACGTATGACAGTCCTTTAAGGAATTGTTTCAGAATAGGGTGTCTGAAAAACTTGGCTGCTGGAGAGGTTGGTGGTTGATAAGCTACAATTGCTGAAAGGTAGACTTTAAGAGATGAAAGATAAAGGCCCTTAGATTTTAGTTGCAATAGAAAACGAAGGGCAGTGGGAAGGGAAGCGTTGATTGAAGGTAGTGATGACGCAGCAGTGAATGATTGGAACTTTTTCCATTTATACATGTAGGCCTTCCTAGTTTAGGGTTTCTTTGCATGATGAAGGACATTCATCAGGTGAGGCAGGCAGGGCAGGTGGTAAATGTTGGACAACAGCCAGAGGAGAATCGGGAGCCATGGCTGTCACAGCCACCACAGAGCTATTAGGATAGCGTTGCCCCAGTCCTGTTGAAGGAAAGACTACGACCCTGTGGAGAAGTGGGAATGGTGGAAAGAGGTAAGTGAATGATTTGGGCCAACGGCCAACAAATACGTCTCTGTGGGAGTTCTTGCCGACTCCTGCGTGGGAGCAGTAACGTTTGCACTTCTGGTTTTTCCAGGAAGCAAAGAGGTTGATGGTGGGTGTGCCCCATTGCGTGCACACAGAGAGAAAGACAGTCTGGTCTAGTTCCCACTCGTGGATTTGAGATCCTTTGCAACTGAGCAAATCTGCCAAATTGTTCTTGTGACCGGCTACATGTATTGCCGCGAAACAAATGTGATGGGAGAGGCACCATTCCCACAGGTCGACAGCAAGATATAGGAGACTTGGGGAGTGAGTACCTCCTTCTTTGAGAATATCATGGTGTGTTGTCTGTGGCTATTTGGACCATTTTGCCAATAAGATGGTTTTTGAAAGCCTTGTAGGCTTTTATTACTGCTAAGAGTTCTAGCTCGTTGATACAGTCATTGAGCATCCTTTCTCTTCATGACCACTGGGCATGGATTTGAAGGGACTGGCAGTGGGCACCCCAGTCAGTGAGGCTGGCACTTGTGGTAACCTGGATTTGTGGATGTGGTTGTTGAAAAGGTTGTCCCATCATCAGGTTTTGAGTGGAACACCACCATGAAAGCTGGGGGTGACTGGCAGTAGAGTATGTGGTGAGTTTGTCAGTGGGTTGAAAAAGGCCAGGAACCATTCTTGACCTCATTTTGAGGCAGACATGCTTGAATACAGTGGTCACCTAAGCCACTGTGCCTAAGACAAGTTGGACTGTTAACACAGATAGAAGTGCATGAGGAGTGAAGGCGTGGAGTAAAGAGGTTAAATTGTCTGTTGGAAGAAATGCTCAAGCATGTTTGGAATCTATAACTGCTCCTATATAATGGGTTAGTCTTGTGGGCGTTAACTTAGATTGTTGCAGATTTATTGCAAGGCCAAGATCTTGAAGGAGAAACAAAGTGAAGTGTACGTCTCATTGTGATTTGTGACGGGAGTGTGCTATGAGTAGCCAATTGTCGATGTACGGAAAGATGTGAATCTTATGAAGCCTGAGGTATCCTGCCACCGGGGCCATGTATTTGGTGAATACTCGAGGGGGGCATCGCAAGTCCAAATGGAGGTCTTTTGAATTGGTATGCCTGGAAAGCACAGGTAAGGCCTGTGAGATGGATGGATGGATAGAGACATGGAAGTAGGCATCTCTGAGGTCTATAACTGCTATCCAGTCTTTTTTGCAGAGTAGTGTGAGGACAGACTTCAGGGTAACCATGTGGAATTTGGTGGTAGTGATATATTGGTTTAGTTGTCTGAGAGCGAAGATAGGGTGGAGGCCTCCGACTTTTTGGGGAACAACAAGAGAAAAAACATTTGACTGTATGGTGTAGTGGTATTGGTTTTACAGCATTTTTTAGTAATGACTTATTTCGTCCTGTAGGGATCGCAACGGAGGTGTGACGGTGTGTGATGGTGGAGGAAGCTGGTGGAGTTCTATGCAGTACCTGTGTTGTATGATGGCGAGGACCCAGGCATCTGTGGTGATGTCGTTCCACACAGGCAAGTGCTTGCAGAGGGCAGGGGAAAATGTGAAAGGTTGTGTTGAGATCTTGGCCGGTTGGACATAAAACCTGATGTTTAGGTTTGCAGTCATTGCGCCTGGATGTAGTTTGCTGTTGAGGTTGGTTCGGTAAGGTTGTTGTTTATACTAAGGCACATAGGATGTTTGCCTCTTAGGTTCTTGTTGGAAC